GCCTGGCACTTACTTGTCACACACATGCCCGGCACTTACTTGTCACACACATGCCTGGCACTTACTTGTCACACACATGCCTGGCACTTACTTGTCACACACATGCCGGCACTTACTTGTCACACACATGCCTGGCACTTACTTGTCACACACACATGCCTGGCACTTACTTGTCACACCTGGCATGCCTTGGCACTTACTTGTCACACACACCGCACTTACTTGTCACACACATGCACTTACTTGTCACACACATGCCTGGCACTTACTTGTCACACACATGCCCGGCACTTACTTGTCACACACATGCCCGGCACTTACTTGTCACACACATGCCCGGCACTTACTTGTCACACACATGCCCGGCACTTACTTGTCACACACATGCCCGGCACTTACTTGTCACACACATGCCCGGCACTTACTTGTCACACACATGCCCGGCACTTACTTGTCACACACATGCCCGGCACTTACTTGTCACACACATGCCCGGCACTTACTTGTCACACACATGCCTGGCACTTACTTGTCACACACATGCCGGCACTTACTTGTCACACACATGCCTGGCACTTACTTGTCACACACATGCCCGGCACTTACTTGTCACACACATGCCCGGCACTTACTTGTCACACACATGCCCGGCACTTACTTGTCACACACATGCCTGGCACTTACTTGTCACACACATGCCTGGCACTTACTTGTCACTTACACACACATGCCGGCACTTACTTGTCACACACATGCCTGGCACTTACTTGTCACACACATGCCCGGCACTTGTCACACTCATGTCACTTACTTGTCACACACATGCCTGGCACTTACTTGTCACACACATGCCTGGCACTTACTTGTCACACACATGCCTGGCACTTACTTGCCCGGCACACACACACATGCCTGGCACTTACTTGTCACACACATGCCCGGCACTTACTTGTCACACACATGCCTGGCACTTACTTGTCACACACATGCCTGGCACTTACTTGTCACACACATGCCCGGCACTTACTTGTCACACACATGCCTGGCACTTACTTGTCACACACATGCCCGGCACTTACTTGTCACACACATGCCCGGCACTTACTTGTCACACACATGCCCGGCACTTACTTGTCACACACATGCCTGGCACTTACTTGTCACACACATGCCCGGCACTTACTTGTCACACACATGCCCGGCACTTACTTCACACACATCACACTTGTCACATGCCTGGCACTTACTTGTCACACACATGCATTACTTGTCACACACATGCCCGGCACTTACTTGTCACACACATGCCCGGCACTTACTTGTCACTTACACACACATGCCCGGCACTTACTTGTCACACACATGCCTGGCACTTACTTGTCACACACATGCCCGGCACTTACTTGTCACACACATGCCTGGCACTTACTTGTCACACACATGCCCGGCACTTACTTGTCACACACATGCCACACATGGCACTTACTTGTCACACACATGCCCGGCACTTACTTGTCACACACATGCCCGGCACTTACTTGTCACACACATGCCCGGCACTTACTTGTCACACACATGCCCGGCACTTACTTGTCACACACATGCCCGGCACTTACTTGTCACACACATGCCCGGCACTTACTTGTCACACACATGCCTGGCACTTACTTGTCACACACATGCCTGGCACTTACTTGTCACACATGCACATGCCTGGCACTTACTTGTCACACACATGCCCGGCACTTACTTGTCACACACATGCCCGGCACTTACTTGTCACACACATGCCCGGCACTTACTTGTCACACACATGCCCGGCACTTACTTGTCACACACATGCCTGGCACTTACTTGTCACACACATGCCTGGCACTTACTTGTCACTTGTCACACACATGCCTGGCACTTACTTGTCACACACATGCCTGGCACTTACTTGTCACACACATGCCTGGCACTTACATGTCCAACACCACATGCCTGGCACTTACTTGTCACACACATGCCCGGCACTTACTTGTCACACACATGCCCGGCACTTACTTGTCACACACATGCCCGGCACTTACTTGTCACACACATGCCTGGCACTTACTTGTCACACACATGCCTGGCACTTACTTGTCACACACATGCCTGGCACTTACTTGTCACACACATGCCCGGCACTTACTTGTCACACACATGCCACTTACTTGTCACACACACATGCACTTACTTGTCACACACATGCCCGGCACTTACTTGTCACACACATGCCTGGCACTTACTTGTCACACACATGCCTGGCACTTACTTGTCACACACATGCCTGGCACTTACTTGTCACACACATGCCTGGCACTTACTTGTCACACACATGCCTGGCACTTGTTGTCACACACATGCCTGGCACTTACTTGTCACACACATGCCCGGCACTTACTTGTCACACACATGCCTGGCACTTACTTGTCACACACATGCCTGGCACTTACTTGTCACACACATGCCTGGCACTTACTTGTCACACACATGCCTGGCACTTACTTGTCACACACATGCCTGGCACTTACTTGTCACACACATGCCTGGCACTTACTTGTCACACACATGCCCGGCACTTACTTGTCACCCTGGATTCCCAGCTACTGCGTCTGTATGATGTGAATTGTTTACGTTCGGAGCTACTTGATTCCCCATGTTATCTCAACGTAATTGTGACAGCAAGATTATTAGAATAGCCTTGATTACGAAAAGGAAAGATGGGAAAATGAAAACGGATTGTTTCATGAGCAGTATCGTTTCTAGACAACTGAAATACTTCGGCCATGTTGAAGGTCATACTAGTTTTTAGAAAACAGTAATCAAGCGGGAGGGAGAGGAAAGGGGGAGGGAGTATTTTTCTTTGTGAAAGAGGAAAGAATCGACATTACGAAGGTGGACGCAGGACGTCAATGACACCCTGGAATTAACAGTTCACGAAGCGGCTAATTTTGCAGAGGAACTAGCGGCGTTCTGTAAGGTATCTACTTTATTACATCATGTTAAACCAAGTGGCGTCACTGCACACCGGGTGTGCACACTCCGATACAGCAGCCATCCCAAGATGCTAATAAAACTAACGTTAGTCTCCCCACGGACCGAACACTATACACACTAGCTCACTTCTGATTATTAGACCTTGAGCCACTTGCCTTGGCACAAGGCTACGGGGGTGTTCCGCAATCTCTTTGATAGCGTGTGTTGTATATTTCAGCAAGCCAGCACTTTTAACTCTTCAAAAACATGGACAAACGGGGTCTAATACAAGTAGAGAGTGCTGCATCCTATGTCATAGGCATTTAATTTATCGGAATAAAAACGGTAATGCAAGACAACTAGGAAAGCAAACAACAGAGCCGCACACCCGTAACCTGCAGGAAAGTAGACCGGCCCAACAAACTTGTGAATGAAACGTGACGTACTTTGTTTTGGGAGACTAACTTAAACCTAACCAAGTTGCCTCTACCATCTTACAATTATAACCCATTATTTATATTGTATGTCTGTGTGTGTGTGTGTGTGGATGTGTGTCGCTATGGGTTTGCATTTCTCTATGTATGTTTATGGCTGACTGTGGCTGTCTTGTTTTTCTGCCCTGTATCTGTCTCTGCGTGTGTGTGTTTTGCTGTATATTTCAACGTTTGAAACTGACATCTGTAATTTTGTATATTTAATCTACATTTCATACTATAAATATTTTGATACATTAACATAAAATGTTTGATATATGAAATACAACTGATGTGGGGAAGATGTGTGTTTATAACGGCCGAATGTAAGACTGGCCTGCGTGCCCAATTTGTGACACTTTGTTAATAAAGTGCGTTCTACTGACCGCTCCCAATGAAAACCTATTTATATACTGACATCAAACATGACAAAGTCGTGTTTGGTCAGTGTTTACTCAAGACCACACAGACGGCTCAGCTAAGACTCAGCTACGACAAATATTTTCAAATATCCAATATATTTATCTTCAAAATTATAATTCATCCAATAACACGTGCCGCAAATTAATTAAACTGTAAGTCAATTTGTTTATAAATCTACTCGATAACAATTGTTACCACCGTCCGACCACACCAGCCTCACAAAAACGGGAATTTTCGTTTCAGCTGAAGTGCCTTATATCTAGAGCTGGCCATGGAAAAAAACAATACCAGTGGTATTATCAGTTGAACGTTTAAAGACAGACACACAAGCTACTCATTAAAAACAATACCGCTTTTTTTTTTTTATAGTTCAATGAATATTATTTCTAATTAAACTTGAAAAATGCTAGCAGACGAGATTATTACAAGCACAAACACCCACAATTTAAAAAATGCTTCGCGCCTCCATTGAAAAGTCCTTGATCCTTTCCCCTCTCACATAATTGAGAAACAATGCTCATGTACGTAGCTTAGGGAATAAGAATATAGTTCATAGTTCTGAAATGCCCGGTTCCGTTTAATTGTCTTAGAATAGGCAGCAGACAGCTTCGCTTAGATACCGAAAATAATGTGGAGCATACTGGCTTTCCAAACACATTAGATGACAGATAATCCATGTCGGCCTCCAGCCAGGAGCACCAAAAGGAAGGGAAAGCAACACTTGGAAAAAATTATGAAAGCAGGCTGCGTGACGGCGTTACCTCCCCCCCCCCCCCCCCCCCCCTTTTTTTTTCCCCCACTGAAAGATCTAGTTGGCCATGTTATGAGAAGATGGAAAATGGAACATGTTGTAATCACTGGAAAGATCTGTGGATAGGGAAAGACAACGAGAAAAGATTCTGGACAGTCTTGTTGCATGGCATGGAGGTGAGTCAGCACACGAGCTGATACATGCTGCAGGAGGTAGCAGACTGTGGAGAGGCATGATCGCCCACGCCAGTCGGCAAGTCACCTGATGATGATGTGGGATGACACCCCGTGCCCCGAAATCAGTGCTCTCGACTTCAAATCTCAACCATTTCCATGGCCATGGTATTTCAGCTGCCCCGAAGAGGACAGAACTGGGAGCTTGTGTCATAACCTGCAGTCCATTCGAGGGTGTTCTTGGGCTACCTGGCTGTCCTGAAGGATACCAGTGCAGATCCAATGGTTGTGGTCGTACCTGTCAGCTCGGTGAGTTACCTATTTGTCCACGTATTCCTACCAGCATTTTCACACCTATATTTGTTGTTGTTGTGGTTGTTACCATCATCATAATGTTTTTGCTGGGGGGGGGGAGCGGATTATTTTAAACTTTAGGGTCATTTTCAGATGGAGGGAGTTTTGTAATAGTTATTTTGAGATGACCAGGTTTTAATAGCAGAAGAGCTGAGTGGCTTTGAAACATGGTGTCCCGCTCGAGTGCTGGAAGTCCCGGGTTCAAGTCCCGGTGAAGGCAGGTTTTTTTTTTTCACGAGGACTTCTAGTATTTCCGCTGGTCTCTACCCAAATCTACTCAAAGTATTTTAGGAACCTCCCCACTGTCTACGGAGTTCGTGCACTGTACTGCGATTCAGGATCGAGTTAGAAGTAGAACGAAGCAATTATGGGTTTTACCCTTGTGCCATGATGTTGATCCGTTGCATAAAGTAAACTAATAGCAGAAACAGAAGAGGTTTTCTGGAACTATCTCAAATCAAGTCAACACCAAGTCCCCGAAATATAATGTGAAAAATCAGCAGTGAAAAATTGACAACCTCAACAGTAATAGGAAGATAACAGAAAACTATTTCAATCAAAGTAAATAACTCATACCTAAAACAAACAAGTCAATATAAACATCTAGCGTCAGGTTTGATATATGATGGAAGAATAGATGGGAACGAACCCATATACATGTTCATAAGCAAATCTGGTGCAACTAACAACACTTTTTGAGACATAGAGGGATAGCTTTGTCTTCGAACTCAGATCTTCTTCTTCTTCTTCTTTGCGTTTATCTGTTGTAAACTCCGGTGGAAAGTTCTGGTTGTTCGTCAACTTACGGATTTCGATTATGTTCTAGAACTTGAGTTTAGCTTGCACGTCTATGTTTTAAATCTGGCTTATTTGTGTGCAGACTGTTAGTTCCTCGCCTCTTAGAGGATAGACTCTGGCTTTTCTAGAGAAACAACTCTAATCAGTCGCCTTTTACGACATGCTGAAAGAAAGCTAAGTGACCAGTTGATACCTCAGCCGACATGATCACACATTTGAAGGTTTAAAGTTAACCACGGATCAACATTATGGCACACGGGTAAGTGCTCCGTTCTTCTTCTAACTCAAGTCTGAGTCCGAAGAAGCTCAGCACAGTGCACAGGCTCTGTAGCACCGGCGAAGATCTAGAAATACTTTGGGTAGATTTTTAACTTCAAATTGTGCCCGGGCATCGCCGTTAGTCTACTCTTTTCGATTTCCAACTGCCATGGGAAACCAGGGGAAATTACTAGAAGTCCAAGTTTACGTGAAAAAATCCCCGTCCCTAAACCCTAAACCTCTAACACTTGAGGTTGACACCATGCCTCGAGACCTTGCAACCCCCCCCCCCCCCCCCCCCCCACCCCCGATCATACATGTGAAAACATGTCCCATGTCTACGTCTCTTCCAGCTGTGCCTGAGAAGAAGTCCAAGCGAGGATCTTGTGTGATCACCTGTAGTGTGGATGCCTCAGACCCCATTGGTTTACCGCTTTGTGCTGAAGGATACCAATGCAAATTCAACGGCTGTGGTCATACCTGCCAACCCGGTGAGTTCTCTCACATTTAAAGCCACAATTGTAAAGCATAGCATATCTAATAAATAAAGTGAAGTAAAAGTAAAAGTCCCTTTTCCACGCCTTTAAGCGTACAGGGTATATAGAACTAGATGTATATTTTTATAGATCAATCGGCACAAGATGTGTGATGTGGTCAGCATCACGCCGGCCGCTTTTACCTCCCGGGACTGCACCCGGTACCCACTCAAGGCCGGGTCGACCTGGGAGTCAAGGTTATTTTTGAAAAAAGTCAGGCTCCGCCAAGGAGCGAACCCAGGACCTTCCGATCCGCAGCGTCTAGCCGCTACGCCAAGGTGACTCTCATCTAACAAATATAGACAAATAAAACAGAGGAGGCGATATTGCCGATCCAGTGGCAAAAATGCTGGTGCTGAATATTTCTATAATGACAACAATGAACGTGATATTAATAATGTATTTAAATAGAAAAACAATACTAATATGAGGAACCTAGTCAGCAGTGAAAAAAAAAATTATCATGATCATTATTGAGTTGCATGCTCTTTTGCGAAGATCGCTTTCATCTTGTTTCCATCAGTTATCAGTTGCCCTAGGTCGTGTCTATATGTCTTCTATGACTTATCGATCCCTGACTCATTTTTCAAGAACTTTGGTTTTCTCTTCTTTCTTTTACAGACCATTTTGACATTTCTTCTTTTTTTTTCTTTTCTTCTTCTTCTTCTTCTTCTTCTTCTTCTTCTTCTTCTTCTTCTTCTTCTTCTTCTTCTTCTTCTTTCTTCTTCTTCTTCTTCTTTCTTCTTCTTCTTCTTCTTCTTCTTCTTCTTCTTTTTCTTCTTCTTCTTTCTTCTTCTTTTTCTTCTTCTTTTCTTTTTCTTCTTTCTTCTTTTTCTTCTTCTTCTTCTTCTTCTTCTTCTTCTTCTTCTTCTTCTTCTTCTTCTTCTTCTTCTTCTTCTTCTTCTTTCTTCTTCTTCTTCTTCTTCTTCTTCTTCTTCTTCTTCTTTTGTTCTACTACTTCTGTTTGTTCTACTTGTTGTTCTACTTCTACTTCTTCTTACTTTACTACTACTACTACTACTACTACTACTACTACTACTACTACTACTACTACTACTACTACTACTACTACTACTACTACTACTACTACTACTACTACTACTACTACTACTACTACTACTACTACTACTACTACTACTACTACTACTACTACTACTACTACTACTACTACTACTACTACTACTACTACTACCACTACTACTACTACTACTACTACTACTACTCCTCCTCCTTCTTCTTCTTCTTCTTCTTCTTCTTCTTCTTCTTCTTCTTCTTCTTCTTCTTCTTCTTCTTCTTCTTCTTCTGCTTCTGTAGTGTTCCAGGGTTTTATATGGCCTAGTGTCTCATTAAGTCTCAACCCGGTTCTGCCTATATGTAAGACAGAGAATATATGTAAGAGTTGATATTTGAATTTCAGCTAGCGATGCAGAATTGCTACACCACACATTATTGCTACACCACACATAATTGCTACACCACACATAATTGCTACACCACACATAATCGCTACACCTCTTCCAGCCACTTCCAGACACAATTTTTCGTTCTATAACCTGAAGGCTGAAGGTAATTCTCATCCGAATGGTGGCACTTTGTGTCACCGGGTGTTTATCGCTGGTTGTGCGGCTCTGGTTGAGTTGAACAGTATTTATTTATTCATTCATTCATTCATTCATTCATTCATTCATTCATTCATTCATTCATTCATTCATTCATTCATTCATTCATTCATTTATTCATTCATTCATTCATTCATTCATTCATTCATTCATTCATATTCCTTTTCACGGCATAACATAAACAGTTTACTTGACAGGGGCTTAGTCAACGAAGGTCAGATGAAAGTCGAAGTGCTTCTGTCTAAGAGACGAGGAAAATCTACATACAAATAAGCCAGATCTGTAAATCGGATGTGCATCCACCACACAAGTGACAGAACAAGACTTAGGAAATGAACGAAAAAACAAGATTTTCCGCTGAGTTTACAACCGCTGAGGACAAGAAGAACACGGAGAATATTTAAATCCTCTTTTTAACCAATAAACAACAACAAAATAAATTGATTTAAATGTTAGCTTAATAAAACTTACTGAAACTGCTGACAACAAATCTCTACTGACAGTACTTTTTCCGTTGGCAGCAACAAAAGTGGCCCGTCGCCAGAGATGTGCCCCAGTCTTGTGTAGGATCAAGTGTCCCAATGGGTTTGCTCTGGACGAAAACGACTGTGAAATTTGCAAATGCATAGATCACTAACGTGTTCCTGTTATGATGAAATACATAATTGTAAGGATACTGTCACTAACGTGTTCCTGTTGATGAATGAAATACATAGTTGTAAGAATACTGTCACAGATTACGATCCCTGGTTGCCTGGAACAGTTCCGACACCACAGCACTCGGTGCATTCCCATAGGCGAAGAAAAAGAAGAAGAAGAAGAAAAAGAAGAAGAAGAAGAAGAAGAAGAAGAAGAAGAAGAAGAAGAAGAAGAAGAAGAAGAAGAAGAAGAAGAAGAAGAAGAAGAAGAAGAAGAAGAAGAAGAAGAAGAAGAAGAAGTTGAAGAAAAAGAAGATGATGATGATGACGATGATGATGATGATGATGAAGAGGGGAGGAAGATAAAAGATAAGAATAGAAGAGAAGAATTTGGAAGAGCTTGATAAGGAGCTGAAGCAGAGAAGGAGGAGAAAAAGAAGCTGTCCCAGGGACATCACTAGTAAGTATTCAGTCTTGGGAATGGTTCTAATTCCCATACATAAAATGTGTCCTAGGAAACCGACGTGATAGAACTCGGGCATGTCAGTATCTTCTTCTTCTTCTTCGCGTTCACCAGCTGTACACTCTGGCGGAAAGTTCTGGTTACTCGTCCACTACTGAACGGCAGTCCTGCTCCAGAACCTGAGTGTTGCGTGTGCATCAGTTTTACAGATCTCATTCGCTTGAATACAGACTGTTGGTTCCTTGCTTCTCTGGCAGATGCACTCCGACTTCAAAGGAAGCTCCCCAATTAGTCGACTCTTACGACATGCTTTTGGGGAGGCAGTGGGTCTATTTTTGTTTTCCCCACAATGGGACCGCGGAACCCACACGGGGGATGTCAGTATCAACTCCTGTCTCCTTATGTCGAATAGTGTAGATACTAACAGTTACAGTTGTCAGGTGGTTATAAATACACCTACGATGATTACTGCCTTCTTGCATTCCGTACTGAAAACTGGATTTCCCTATCCCATGAGCTATTTCTATATGTAAATATTGATTTCGTACAGATTAAAAATCTCACACCCTAACACGGATTAGGAGCAAATTTAATACACGAGTGATCCATCCTTTTACGTGCATCTCAGTCACTACATTCTCTCTTGTTTTGGTGATTGCCTCATGGCTAACGGTTGTTGACCAGTTGTCAGTTATGTCTAAGAGTTGTGGACACACCATTAGTGAGCGTATTCTGTTTGATTGTTACGTTCACACACTGTTGTGAGTTTATCCTGTCTCAATATTACATTCACACACTGTTGTGAGTTTATCTTAATTGTTACGTTCACACGCTGTTGTGAGTTTATCCTGTCTAATCGTTACGTTCACACACTGTTGTGAGTTTATCCTGTCTAATCGTTACGTTCACACACTGTTGTGAGTTTATCCTGTCTAATCGTTACGTTCACACACTGTTGTGAGTTAATCCTGTCTAATCGTTACGTTCACACAGTGCTGTGAGTTTATCCTGTCAAATCCTGTCAAATCGTTACGTTCACACACTGTTGTGAGTTTATCCTGTCTATTCGTTTTGTTTACACACTGTTGTGAGTTTATCCTGTCTAATCGTTACGTGCACATTACTGTTGTGAGTTTATCCTGTCTAATTGTTATGTTTACACACTGTTGTGAGTTTATCGTGTCTAATCGTTACGTTCACACACTGTTATGTTGTAAGTTTATTAGATCTAAGAACTATATACAGAAATGTGTTCTGTTTATCAAATCTCTGGAAGATGGACATTCTTGTCAACCTGGTAAATTTAACAATTCCTTTAATAATTTTTAGCTCATTTTCACTTCTTGTGTACTAACTTTTACCACTTGGTGGTGAACTGATGTATGACAAGCTAAATATTGTGAGGGCCTGTTGGGAGCGAGTGAACAGTTCACAGGCACAGATAGATCATTACGGTCTGTGGAGAATGGCGCTGCGAGGAGTTACCAGGGGATTTGGCCGACGATAAACATTCAGGGGAAAGGCGAGACGGATATACAATCAGACAGTTACTGGTGCCATCGGAAATAGAACTCTTCACTTGGTGCTGAAGATGGGGACAGAGCACTTATGGGAGTCTCCCGACTGTTGTGACGTCGATTCTTAATTCAACATTCAGACTAATTTGACCACTTCCTACAGTCGTGAAATAAGCTGCAAGCAAAGCATTTTATATTTCCTTTAACTTTTCCCTGTCTCCATTTTCATTTTTCAAACAGCATTTCTACAGCTTCCGGACAATTGGACATGTGATGTTAGCCCTATTTATTTATAGACCAATGGATACTATAAGAGTAATATAGTCCACATCAGCCATCTTTACCTCCCAGGAAATTTGATATTACTATTTTTAAGCTATGTAAATCTTCGAGTCTAGAACTGTTTTGCAGATCAGTTCTAATGATGATTCCAGTCCGTGACCACAGGAAAGATTGTCAACTCCTCTCTCCAAGATCTAATTTTCTCTTTAAAAAAAAATTACAGATATATTCTAAAATAAGTAGAATATAGGAAAGAAGGAATGGTTATTATCATGTAGCATATCCTTTGCAGAAGGTAGCTCTCTTCATTATCTGCCTAAGAGAAACTCAATCTCTCGCCGGCTCTCGGGCTACGTGCACTTGCCTACATGGGTGGCTTATATCCTGTGCCCTTCTTCGTGCTGGCTGGAACTTGCTTGTCTATCCTGGTAACATGCTTTCGACTTTTATTTGTTTCCAATTTACCATTGCGCTTGATATTGTCAAAATACGAGACAAGATGCTGTTTATTAGCCACTCTTTCTTGTTGTTCAGACCTTTAAGATGTCTGTACTTCTTCTCTTCTTTGTCTGTGGTATTGGGAGAATCTTTCTGTAGCATTTAAGTTCTTAATACCCAAGGGACAGATACGTGATAATATAAACAGATAAATAACTAACTGATATGAGAGTAAGAGGAGAGAGTGCCCGAGAATACAGACTGATATCATTTAAGACACTATATATTAATCTTCTTCTTCTTCTTTAGCATTCCATGTCCTTGAGGTTCATTGCTGCAGATATCACCCGCCCACATTCATCTCTGTGGTTGGCTTTCTCTTTCCAGTTGGTGACACCAAGTGTTTACAGGTTTGAATATTATCTCGCCATCGTCTTCTTGGTCTGCCTCGTGATCAACGACCATTTTTTTTTTTTTTAATCGATCACCGGCTGTGAATTCCAGTGGAAGGTCCCGGTTAATCGTCCGCTTGGACTTTTGGCTTTCACCTGGACCTGATTTTTGCGTGTACAACCGTTTTTCATTTCCCTGCCTCATGGGCAGCTGTACTCCGACTTCGAAGGAAGACGTCAGGCCTATTTCTAGGTTGACTGTGGCCATTGTTTTGTGTGGTGTCCACTTTGTCTCCTCCGCAGGTATTGCCCTCGGAGTACCCCTTTGGGGCAGCCCCCTGTGGAACAGTTAGCCCTCAAGGGAAGGCAGGGGCAGATCATGGGCATTCCCCGCCATCCAAGGAGGCTTCCATGCATGCAGAGCCGGCACATGGCGCTCTGGTTCTGGGCTCACCCAAGGAATCGTCACGTCCTGCACATGCCTGCTTAACCTCACAACCGTATCAGGCCTCCCGCTCGACAGGGGCTGCGCCCTCTGGAAGTCAGCGGGGAGCAGCCCGTGGGTTTTGGACTTTTGTGACCACACAGATAGGTACATTCTTTTTTCTTCGCACGTTAGATTTCTTTGACGAGCCGTTAGCCTGACAGAATTTTACATCCTGCATCAGGCATATCGTTTTCAGTTTTGTCCCAACACTCGGGCGATTGGGGTCTTTGGGTGTGGACATTCGGTCTTTTTCAGTTCAATACAAATTTTGATGGTCAGATTTTGATCCGTATGTTCTAGTTTTGTCGGACAATTAGGATGGTTGCTGTTGTGGTGTACCTCAGCGCGGTGACGACGACACTGGGGGTTAACCGAGGATGTACAAGGATGGCCAGCCTATGGATGGTTGCTGTTGTGGTGTACCTCAGCGCGGTGACGACGACACTGAGGGTTAACAGAGGATGTGCAGTGAACAATGTTCTCTTTACTCCGCAGTCTTTTAACCAAGGGTTGTAATTTTGGCTGTACGTTTGGCAAACCTACTCATGTTCCTAATGAGTTTTGATAACATTTTTCACCCAAGCGTTTGGGAGCGGGCTGATGAGAGCCACAAGGACACATCACCTCTGAGGGCCGCCGAACTCCGAGATCCCCTGACAGCTCTGTTAATACTCATTTGAGACATTATCCGTGGCGCACGACGAGGACGTGCTGTAGGGGTCTTGCGTGAGGTTCCGTACAACCAGGATAGTTAAGGACTGGCGCCCGAGTGACGTACAGAGTATCTCCTTATACACATCATGTTGGACTTAACTTCCCCTCACGCCTGTGACATAAATCACCGCGCCACCAACGACCATTCATCTCCCTCGTGTATACAGTTTTTACTTCTCTGTCATCTGGCATTCTTTCAATGTGTCTCAACCATTTCAGTCTATTAGCTCTCATGATGCCAGTGATCAGTGGTGATTTAAACAGATTATGAATTTCGTTGTTGCTTCTCACTCTCCATTTACCGCTGTTTGCATCTTTGATGGGTCCAAAGATTCCTCTTAAGACTCTGTTGAAAAATACCGGTAAAAAGGCTTCCTCTCTTTTATTTGTGCTCCAAGTTTCAAAGCCATATAACACGTCTGGTTTAATCAACGTTTTATATATTTTGATCTTGGTGTTGCGAGACAGACACTTTGACTTTAGCAAAAGTTAAAGGGCATATTATACTTTATTTCCAGATTGTATTCTAGATTGTATTTCTTCTCTCCACATGTTGGAGCAGTTAAAATTTGCACCCAAGTAGTTATACATTTCCATTCGTTTGATTTTCATATTATCGATTTGTTTGTGGCCGGAGTTTATATCCTTTCCCTTTCTTGTTATTATTATGTTTTCTGTCTTATCTTGGTTGATAACTAGTCCCATT